TGGAACGGGCCGTTCCGGATGCAAAACTAAAACACCAAAAGTGCACCCAGAACGGCTCGTTCCGGTTTCAGAACGGGCCGTTCTGGGTCCAGGTGTTTTCAAAAAAATTCTCATCCATGTGGATGCCACGTATGCATCTACGTGGCGTCCACGTGACCAAAAGTTAACATCGTTAAAGCAATTTGGACGGAAAGTCCCACATTAAAACTAATTAATTAATTTAGGACTAAATTGAAACTAATTAATTAATTTGAGACCAAATTGAGACAAAAAAATTAATAAAAAACTAAATTGAAATAAAAAAAATTTATAAAAGACCAAAATAAGATTTTAACCTTTTTTAATTGAGACCATGACAAAACGGGAAATGACACAATGTAAATGAAGGAATTAAAATGAACCTAGACATCTCCTCGAAGTTGGTTAACATATTTTAATTGGAACAAAGAGTACTACTAATTAAATTGCACTGTTCTTGGCCCTTTCTCGTGAAAGTAGCATATATATAATTATTTCATTAATTCAGTAGGGAGAAACAGACCAATTATGAACGTGCAGAGTTATATTGATTTTAGTGAAAGCTTTTGCATGCACGCGGATTTAAGTCTGTGTTGATCATGTGCCATGTCTCCGAGTATAGCAAAAGTTGTTTAGCTAATCTTCCAATATTATTGAAATTAATCATATACATTATACATACATGCAGCTCATCAAGAAGCACTGAAGAGGGAGATAGAGAGACTGAGGCGAGTTTATCACCAACAGAACCTGACGAAGATGGAAAATGCTGCAGGATCACCATTACCATCTCCATCACCAAAGCCTATATGTGATGTTCAAACAGAAAAGGAAGTACAAATCCTCAATTTTGAAGATTAATTAATTAATCAATCAATCAATTACACTATAGCATGATGCAGCTGTAGCTACGTACGTACTATCCATTTTACATGACACTGTGATTGATTTTTTATTATAAAAAAGAAATTGCAGAATTTTGGATAAGAGATGGTGGGAGATCGAAAGGAAAGGGTGTGATGTATTGAATGGTGTCACGGACGTATTGTTGGGTGGGGAAATTTTTTATTAGTCAATGAATGAAGGAAATATATATGGACAAAAGGCAGTTATTTAGAAATAGTTGATAATTTTTAATCAAAATTAAAATTTTATTTCAATATAATATATATTTACATTTAAAGTAAATTTTAATTATATATATTTACGTATGTTGTTGAGATAAAATTTTTATTTTGATCACAGAATAATATCAACTATGCTTAAACAACTGCAGCTAAATTTTTGTGTAATATATATATATATATCGTGTGAGGAGAGTGACGTTGTGAATGGTGGTAGGGTTCTTCTGCTATGAAACTGAGCAGGCACGTGATGTGTTGTTACTTTAAAAGGAGGGGACCACTGGAAGGTTGCATGATTAGAATGTAGGGGATCCACATGTGCATGCAGCAGTGGCATCAAAAGAGAGGGTGGTAGAAACAGTTGTGTCTGTCTGCTTTAACTTGATAGATATATAGATAGGAGTGGAGTTGGTGGTATATGTTCATGATTCTTTCACTCCTATATTTGCTGTCTTTGATTCTTTCTATTTTGCTTCATGTTTTTCAATTCTTGTTGGAAAACAAACATAAGTGGATACATATGAAAGGAAGGTTTGTCAGTGAAGTCCTGGGTTTTATGGTTTGATTGGATGTACTTTGTATTATGTAATCATTTTTATTTGACATTATTAATTAAAAAAGCCCAAATGTAAATGTAAATAGTCACTTGACTCAGTTTTCTCTGTATATAATGTAGTTTTAACTACTGTTTCACAGTTGTGTTATATATGGACTGAATGGCATCATACCTTCTTATGGCATAAAAGATTATTATTTGAAGAGCATTCATTTTTTCAACACCCAATTTTTCAAATATCTACTCAATACTTTTCGTTTTTATTTATTTTTCTTTATATCACGTTAATTATATCTATAATTTTATCTCTTTTATCTGTACTGGTATGTCAAATAGTGTTTTAGGTGTACAATTTTTCTTTTGTTATTAAATTACATTAGAGAGTGCAAGTATACACATGATTAAAATTCACAATGAAATAAACTACTATGACAAACTTAGTGAGAGAGAAGGGAATAAATTTTAGATAATACACACAAAATTTTAGATTCTAATCTTATTGTTGCTGGTTGTACACACAAAATTCACATTATTAAGTTCTCTTATTACCACTTTTACTCTATTTGTAAGGCTTAGTTCGAATTTTTCTTTAGAAAAAAAATACGTGTGAGGATAAAACAATAAAAGAAAGACGAAATTATATATGCAAATGTAATAGGTTTTTATATTTTTATCCAATTACAAATAGTCTAAGTTTATTGATTTATACAATAATTATTTTACAAATCATACTTTGCATGATTTTTAGTTGCTAGTATAATATTTTTTTACACTATGTGTTAAAATTAAACTCTTATAGAAATTATATCGGATGGTAATCGACCAGGCCGAATACACGATTCGGCCAGCCCGGCTGACCATATCTAGCATGACCGACTCGGTCGGCTCGGTAACACTAATCGGTCGGCTCGGTCAGCAGGATCCAAGTAAACGAGGACACGGAGTTAAGTCGGGAGCAGTGTTTAAAAACCCAGATCGAACCGGTCGGTCGAACCAGTTGGACCGGGAATCGATGGTCCAGCCAGTCCGAATCTTAAGTTGGATCGGTTATGCAGTCGACCCGTTTCAAATCAGATTGAACCGGTCAATTTTTCGGTTCAATCGGTGAACCGGTGGGTCAAACCGGTTCAACCACTTTTTTTTCTTTTTTTTTTTAAAAAAAATTTAAGTGACCATAAACCACAAAAATAATAATGAAAATTGAATCTCTTAATGAAAGAACAAAGATTCTTATTAAATATAACAATGACTACTTGTTCTAATATATTTGTTTATAATATATACAACTTAAATAACTTTTATAGTATATTATTAATTTTAATTTATATATTTAATAATATAATATCTATGTAAATATTATGTATATTATTTTGTGATATCAATTGCAAGCATATTATATATGTACATATTATTTATATTTTTAATTTGTATTAATATACCGTTTAACATGTAATTTTTTTATGTATTTTTTTACAAAATAAAAATAAAAATAATTTTAAATAAGATAGAAAAATTGAAATTTAAAATAAGATATGAATTTATTAAAATTTATAAGTATAAAATATATTTAATATAAATATTTTTTTAATAAAAATAAATAAAAATCGAGTCATGCGGTTCAACTAGTGACTCACCGGTTCAACCTTTGACCCAGTACCTTAACCGGTTCGATGACCAGTCCAGTTTTTAAAACTATGGTCAGGAGAATCAAGGAAAGATTAATTTACTTAATGCACCGGTTTAACCCCCTAATTTCCCGGGGTCCAGTCCCTAATCACGGCCCAACAACAATTACTATAAATAGACCCCCAACGAGGTACATAACTAACTTTAACTACCGCATTTAATATGCCGATCACTTACTTGAGCGTTGGAGTGTCTTTACAGACACCCCCCTTTTCTTCGAACTACCCAGAGCGGAACGAGAATACCTAGACTTAGGACCAAGATCGTGACGACTCAGATTAACAAGGTGTGTCTCCTAATACAGGAACATTTGGCGTCCACTGTGGGGCCGAATAGGCTTTTTCAGCCCCTTTAGACTCTACCGACCGAGACGAAGACATGGTAACTACGCGCAAAGGACCGTCAACATCGACCCAACTTACTCCTAACCCCGAACACAATCCTGGTGTGACCGGGCAAGAGCGGTACCCTTACGGAATGCCCCAAACGTAGGAGCCCGCAACACAAGAAGGCCGACCCAACGCCAAAGACCAGCCTAATCTCCAAGATGATCTGCATTTATTGCGCGAGGAGATGGTCGCTATATATAGATAGAGAGAAACCGATGCGAAGGAGTTGGCCGAGCTCCGTCGCCAGAATGCCGAGCTTAAACCTACATACTATCCACTCCCACGCTCCTGGAAGAATCTGCATATCATGCGCCAACCGACCAGGTCGCCCGGACACCCGCTACCTCTTTGATAAGCGGCAAGGCCGACACTGCAACTAATTCCCTTAGACACCCATTTTCCCGGAGGATAATGGAGGCTACCCTATTGGACCACTGGAAGAGCCTACCGATCGAGAAGTATGATGGGTCCACTGACCCCGAGGAGCACCTGAATGTGTTTCTAACGCAAGTCACCCTCTCAACCCAAGATGACGCCGCGCTGTGCCGAATTTCCCCCACGTCTTTGAAAGGAAGAGCATTGAGTTGGTTCACGCGCTTGCCAAGTTCCTCCATTGACTCATTCAATGAATTGGCGTCTTAATTCACCCTACAATTTGTAACGAGCAAACCATACAAGACAACCTCCCTAGCGCTGGCGGGGGTCCGACAAGAGAAGAGGGAAAGTTTGAGAAGTTTCATGGATCGGTTCAACAAAATCGCCATGGAGATCGGCGATCTCAACCCAACAGTGGCAATGGATCGACTAAGTACTGCCTTGAGGCTAGGACAAATTGTAAACATCTTATGCAAGAAACCGCTTAGAGATATGAACGATCTCCGACGCCGAGCAGAAAAGTACATGCAAATGAAGGAGTTAGCTGAAACCAAAAATCAGGCCAGGGAAAACGAGGGGTATAGCTGACGAGAACCTGGCCGTGAGACAGAAAAAAAAGGGAACGCCGAGCAATCGAATACCCGCCCCCGAGAGGATCGCGTTACATAGCGTACACCTCGCTCAATACGAGTAGGGCCAAGGTATTGGAACAAGCCCTCGCCTCGGAGATCCTCACTATACCTAAACAGGCGAACACTCCCCCTAGAGCAGACAAGGCCAAGACATGTCAATACCACCAAAACAGAGGGCACTCTACTGAAGAGTGCTCAGCGCTAAGAGACAAGCTGGAGGATCTCATCAAGCAAGGTCATATAAGAAGTTTCGTGACCTTTCGCGACCACACCTTGAGCGCTGATCAGCACCAGGCAATGAACGAAAGGTCCTACCCCCCTCGTGAACCCCAACACACAAGGGACCATCGAGGCCGATCTCGGTCAACTGAGCCGAGGGAGCGATTAAGACATTCCCAGGAAGATAGAGACTAGCCGAGGAAGGTGATAAACAGTATAGCAGGAGGCTTCGCTGGGGAGGATCCACTTCCTCGGTGCGAAGAAGGCACCTCTGGGCCGTCCGATCAATAAATGCCGTGCATCACCCGAAAACACCTCGGATGCCATCGATAACATTCTCTAATAGGTATTTTTGCTACATCGACCCCGTGCAGGACGATCCCATGGTAATATCTATTGAAGTTCACAACTGTATAGTGAAGAAGACCTTGGTTGATCAAGGGAGCTTTGCCAATATCTTGTACTGGAACACATTCGTGCAAATGGGGATTCCGAAAGAAAGCCTAGAACAGTATCATGAACCCCTAGTAGGATTTTCAGGGGAAAAAGTGATGACTAGAGGGTGCATTGACCTGTACACCCGTTTTGGCTTCGATCAAGAGACCTTTTGAGATGTCAAAATCAGGTACATCGTGGTGCACGCCAATACATCCTACAACATACTACTAGGAAGACCTTCCATTAATGCCCTCGGAGCCATCGTTTCCACCCCTCACCTGTGCATGAGATTCCCATCGAGAGACGGACAAGTAATAACTGTACACGCCGACTAGAAAACGGCCAAGGAATGCTACTTCTCTAGTTTGAAGGTGCAGCCCATTGCCGACCCTCTCCCGCTGAAAGTCATCAATGTAGTAAGGAAAGAAGCGGACGATGGCATCGACCTCGATCCTCGGGTTGGTGAGGAAGAGAGATTGGAACCGGTAGAGGACCTCACCACATTTCAGCTCGGACGAGACCCCGAGCAAGTCACCCACATGGGGTCCCAGCTAAACAAGGATGAAGTAAACCTGGTAAAGCGCGACATCCGTGATAAAAATGATCTATTTGCATGGACGACATCAGATATGCCCGACATTGACCCTAGATTCCTGTGTCACCGACTTGCCGTATGCCGAGATGCCGGATCAGTGGCTCAAAAGAAAAGAAAGATGGGCGATAAGAAGAGAAAAGCCACGAATACCGAGGTACAAAAGCTATTACAAGCCAACTTTATCAGGGAGGTCACGTACACCACGTGGTTAGCCAATGTAGTTTTGGTAAAGAAGGCGAGCGAGAAGTGGAGGATGTGTACCGACTACACCGGCCTCAATAAAGCTTGTCCTGAAGATGCCTATCCACTCCCCTGCATCGACCGACTCGTCAACGGTGCGTCTAGACACTCAATCTTCAGCTTCCTAGATGCCTACTCTGGCTACAATCAGATAAAAATGCACCCGGGTGATGAAGAAAAAACGACGTTTATCACCGAGAACGCCAACTTTTGTTACAAAATCATGCCGTTTGGGTTGAAGAATGCCGGGGAAACCTACCAGAGGTTAATGGACAAGGTGTTTCAGAAGCAAATAGGAAGAAACATCAAAATCTATGTGGATGACATGGTAGTCAAGTTCGATTATGTATCCGAGCACATAGCTGATCTAGGCAAAATTTTTGGTGAACTGCGCAAGCATAACATGAGGCTGAACCCCGAGAAGTACACTTTCAGGGTCAAGGGAGGCAAATTTCTAGGATTCATGCTATCATCTAGAGGAATTGAGGCTAACCGAGACAAATGCAAAGCTATCTTGGAAATGAGGAGTTCGAGCAACCTCAAAGAACTACAACGGTTGTCCA